AACCCACGCGCCGCAACTGGTGTAGCCCCGGCTCACTGCAACTAGAGGAAGCCCACGCACAGCAACAAAGACCTAGCCAAACCAAAAATAAATATATTAAAAAAAAAAAGACAGAGAGAGTCAGAAGGAGCACTACAATCAGGAGAAGAAAAGCAAGGAGGTAGGGAATGGGAAAAGGGAACAGCATCCTGAGCTCAGGAAATGATCTGAAATGAGACAGCTCATCCAGCAGTAGGGAGCCACAACACAGGAGGCCAACGTCAGAACCTACGGTCTTGTTACTAAGCAAGGGCCCATACAATGGCACCAGCTTTTGAGAAAAGAAAGTGCTTTGTTGTGAGGTTGACCAGCAAGAAGACAGGAGGCAAGCCCCTCAAATCTGTCTCTGAGATCCAGGGATCAAGGTGGATCTTAAAGGGTTAGGAGAACTGCAAACTTGGAAGTTGATTGGCTATTCTCCAATCAGTCTATATAAACCACTAGTACTTCTGGAAGACAGGTTTTCCTTACTGAAGGACTTCTTGCTTCATAAAGGGTTCTGGTGGCAACGTTTTCATTCTTTGAGTTCCAGAGACTGAAGATTCTTGGCCCAGGGTCATCTTGAAGACCAAAGTTTCCATCCTGCACATGCACAATGCTGTCTCTATAAAATAACTGCAGATTTGATTGATCAACAACCTGCTTTAAGGAAGCAAAACCAGTTTAAGCTGGTCAGTATTTCACGTGCTGTTTTTGGTCATACTTTCCAACAACAGATGCTTAGATGGTCAAGGCAGGCAGCGAACATGACCAGTGCATCACTGTGTGTTCTGCATTGTGCTAAAAGAGGGCATAACACACAGCTGTGCCCTGGATGCCCACGGCATTGCTCTACCAGAGGCGGGTACCAGGAACTGGGAGCCGGGCTGAGGAAGCTGTTTGTGGGGGTGAGAAAAAGCTTCACAGAAGAGATGACACCTGAGATGGCCTTGGAAACAGAGGAACTCACTCACCTGGCAGGAAAGGGAGGCACAGAGAAAATCTGAGCTGAGTCAGAGCGGTAGAAACCCACGGAGGTGTACACCTAAGAAATGGAAACAGGCCTGAGAAATGGAAAGAGGCCCTCTATAAATTCCCAAGGCAAAGAAATTGTTACATTCTCCCCGACTCCTGCTTTCATTCAAAGCTGAGATTATGTCTTTTAGGGCATCTGGTTTTCAGACCATACTTATCTGCACTCATATAGTCGAGGCTCAGTCAGGTTCACCCCAGCTCCTGGTCTTTTGATGACAGAATTCGTTCCAGGTTTCATCCCCCTGCCCTCAGCCCCAAGCATCCACCCTTATAGGTCTCTTTTCCACACTAGGATTCCAAATTACAGAATTTTGTCAAGCGGTTTCTTTGTCTCCATATCAGTTTTCTAATCACAATTCAAATGAGGTGTTCCTTGTCTTATAAAGTGAACAGAGTTAATTACTTGAGACGTTCAGGAGAGCTGCATTTGAGCTGAGGGACCCACCAAACCAACTCCCGTTAACATATTCTGGGTGTTTCTTTGAAGCCTGGAACTTTTTTCAACCTCCACAGAACCTTTATAGTGTTGTCCTTAAAGCTACTCATTTAATTTTAATTAACAACAAACTTAGCAGGTTTTAAATAACAGTTTGTAAAAGAAAACTGGGGTGGAGAAACTCCAAATCCACTTCTTAGGATAAGCTGAGGAATCATTAAGTCCTTTCCAACAATTGTTAGACAGTTAATTAGAATAAGTATAGCTTTCATCTCTTCCCTTCTGTATCATCTTCAAACTGCAGCTTAAGGGTGCAATGCTGAAAGGACACACAGCCTGAAGAGCATTGTTAAGTATATTAAAACCACCACAGCCCCCTCCACTTGGAATGATTTCAAGTCATTTATAATATGGATGGTGTGTCTATTAAAGCCTGGCTTATAACTAGTAACAGGATGGTGGGATTTATTGCTTTATCTGAATTCAAAGTGTGCCCCTTTTCTTGTCTGCTCCAACCCAACCCTTGAGGAGTGACCAAAAAAATCAGAAAATCCCACCAGAGTCAGTGTTGAAATACCTTCCTGAAGGTTTAAGCCAATCTTCATTCTTATAAAGTAGGTCATTTAGCTTACATGGTGGCTCAGGAGGTAAAGAATCTGCCTGCAATGCAAGTAGACCTGGGTTCAATCCCTGGGTCAGGAATATCCCCTAGAGAAGGGAATGGCAATTCATTGCAGTCTTCTTGCCTGGAGAACTCTATGGACAGAGGAACCTGGTAGGCTATAGTCCATGAGGTCTCAAAGAGTCAGACGCGACTGAGCAACTAACACACACACACACACAATCATTCTTATTTCCTAACGACTGTCTGTGCTTTCCTAATGGCTTAAAGGTTAAAGGATCGTCCTGCAAAGCGGGAGACCCAGGTTCAATCCCCAGGTTGGGAAGATCCCCTGGAGAAGGAAATGGCAACCCACTCCAGTACTCTTGCCTGGAAAATGCATGGACAGAAGAGCCTGGTGGGCTACAGTCCATGAGGCTGCAGAGTCAGACTCGACAGAGCAACAAACACTTTCACTTCCACTTTCAAAGACTGTCTAGTTCTAATAAATTTAATTCCTATTCTATCTTATGTGTTTTAAAGATGTTCAAAAGGAAACTTAAATAACTTTAAATGTCCCCGATCCCAGAGCTAAGCAGATTCAGCTTCTAGATCTTTTTGAAACTGTCCAGGGCATCCATTCAGGTGTATCTTTTCATTCCTGTCACTCATCCTGAGAGACCAAGGGTAGAAGTATTATATCTTGCATCTATACTGGTTATCAAACCCCAAGCACTTCCCATTGCCTCTGTTCCTTCTATCTCTGATGCTGACCCAAGGGTTACAGAAGGAGATCTATTCCCAGACCTATTTCCAAGAAGTCAGTACACAATGATTTAAATACACTTTAATTCATCCTTCAGTGTACTGAGTCACAAAATTTTGGAGCTGAGAAGGATCTCAGAGGTTACCAATTTCAAACTTTCCATGTTACAGGTTAAAAACAACTAAGCCTCTGCAAAGATAAGTGCCTTTCTCAAGGCCACACAGCTAATTAGTAAAAAAATTAGGCAAATAACCACTGATTCTGAGTACATGTTCTGAGTCCTAGGGGCTTCATGTTTCCTCCAAATATCAGCATCATCAAGAGCCTGCTAGAAATGCAAAATCTTGGGTTCCCTTCCTACACTCACTGAATCAGAATCTGCATGGTCACAAGATCTCCAGGTAAACCCTAGTACATTGAGAATCACTGGGCTAGACTATCACGTATCTTTCTCCAGAAAGCACAAGGATTGGAGACAAGCAGACATGGTTCCACCTTTTCTAAATGTGAGCAAACAGCTCAGTCTCCTAAAAGTATCATTTGTAGCCTGGAAATAACAGCATTATCTACCTTGAATGGTTTTCATAATAGAAGCATCACATAGATATCGGCATACACATTTCATGACACATACATAGATAAAATATGCAAATTGCCTGGCATGTAGTAGCTAATATGGTGTGTGCATGCTCAGTCACTTCAGTCATGTCTGACTCTTTGCAACCCTGTGATCTGTAGCCTGCCAGGCTCCTCTATCCATGAGATTCCTCCAGGCAAGAATATTGGAGGGGTTGCCACGCCCTCCTGCAAGGGATCTTCCCAACCCAGGCGTAGAACCCAAGCCTCCTGTGTCTCCTGCATTGCAGGTGAGTTCTTTACCTGCTGAGCCACTGGGGAAGCCCAGATATAGTATATAGTACTTACCATTTCCAATCTCATGCTTACCAATAATATTATGATCAACCTAAAGGAAATCCATGAGTGACCACGCATCCATGAAGGAATTACCTTGCTTCCTTTTCTCTATTTGTTAAATATCATTTTAACTTTTATATATGTGACTATGAGTGTTATGATATTTCATATTTCTAACTTCAAAATGAAAGAACTAATCCCCAAACTGTGTTATAACCAAAAGAACACAACAGTCTTCTAACATCTTGACTCCAGATCCTATAAACGTGGCCCTTAGGAGCAGTGAATATCTGCTGCCACCCATGCCATGATTTTCTCAGAGACTCAACTGCAAGGGATGAACCTTCAGCTTTGGCAACAGTTGAACACATTTAAAAGATGATCTCTCGTCACTAACGTGTCACATCTGTCAGCCTCAAGGAAAAGAGCTTGAAGAGGAACAGAGGAATAGAACCAACCCTGAACCAAAACTTTTGAAAAATATAAAATGCTAAACTGAACCAAATATAGAGTTCCCTGGTGGTCCAGTGGTTAGGACTTGGTGCTTCCACTGCAGGGGACACAGGTTCAATCCCTGGTTGGGAACTAAGATCCCACATGCTGCACAAAGCATGTGGGATAAGTAAATAAGTAAAACTCCACCAAATTATATTTTCGGAGGAGATATCTTGGAGGGAATATGATAATAACATCAATTGGAAAACATGTTTCCCTAAAGCAGTGCCTCTTCATCCTAGCAATGCATTAGAAACAACTAAGAAGCTTAAAAAAAAAAAAAACTGAATGCACATTTTTGAGGGCGAGATCCAGGCTTCAGTAATTTTTAAGATTCCCATTTGACTTAAATGTGCAGCCAGGGTTGAGAACTGCTGCCCTACAGAAAGAGAAACCTGGTCTTATCTAAGATGGTCAATCCACCAAGATTTATTGATGCTATTGATACAGAGGGGTTACCTAGGTGGCACTAGTGGTAAAGAATCTGCCTGTCAATGCAGAAGACATAAGAGACATGGGTTCAATCCCTGAGTTGGGAAGATCCCTTGGAGGAAGGCATGGCAACCCACTCCAGTATACTTGCCTGGAGAATGCCATGCGCAGAGGAACCTGGCAGGCTACAGTCCAGGGTGTCCCAAAAAGTCAGACACAACTGAAGTGACTGAACAGGCATTGATACAAAGTTCCCCAAACTTTAAGTAATGGCTTTAAGTTCAGTGTGTATCTCTTCTAGGTCTTTTCGCCACTCCTCCAGGACTTCCACCGTAAGGAAAGGAGCACCTGGACCAACATCCTCTAAGATGTTTATATGGACCAGTGGCCGGACTTCTTCATCTTACAGACACGATGAGAAAAGGTAAATCACTGGGACTCATGGGGCTTTTTGGAATCATTTAACCAGAATACACAGAAAGCCCACCAACGAGAAAGCATTAGGCAACTGAGCTTTCTATTTTGCGAGTGTTAAGGTAGGACGGGCTCTGTGTTGAAGGAACAGGGTTTCAGACACTTTGGCCTTCTCCTTGCAGTCACCAAGCTCACTCCTGCTACACGGCTTTGCAAAAGCTGTTGCCTGTCAGAAATGCCCTTTGGTCGTGGTGGTTTAGTCGCTAAGTCATGTCTGACTCTTGCGAACCCATGGACTGTAAACTGTCAAGCTCCTCTGTCCATGGGATTTTCTGGGCAAGAATACTGGCGTGGGTTGCCATTTCCTTCTTCAGGGGATCTTCCTGACCCAGAAATTGAACCCGGATTTCCTACATTGCAGGCAGAATCTTTACCAACTGAGCTATGAGGGAAGCCCCAAATGCCCTTTACCCCTTCACTTATACACACACTGGTCTCTTGGCTACTTCTATCTCTGTCTTCGGATACCCATTCAGTCAAACCTCCCAATATCCTCTTGACCAGCACGGAATTTGTGTTTTAGTCTCCCTTGAATTTTCACCTCCTACAGCCATACCTGACACATAGTAGATGCTCAACAAATACTGAGCTGAAATGATGAAAATTCTTCAAGGCTCTGGACATACGGCAGGGAAGGAAAGCAAAAACTAAGAGAGAATGAAAAAAGGATGGACAAGTCCAGGGAGCCCTCAGACTCCTTGGAAAAGTAGCCTGGCATTGGGGAGAAATGGGGAGGGGAGTAAGCAAAAAGTTTAAAGGGCAAAGGCAGTGTTAATGAAAGACAAAATGAAAATTATTCAGTCCAACCCAGTCTTCAGACTTGGAAATAAATGCATCCACAAACTTCTCTGGCCATTTTGAACATTTGATTTCTCTTTTTCCTTCTGTGTCTTTTTCTTATTGACCTAGTGCTATTTCTTGGGTGTAGTGAAGCTAAATTTTAAACACAACTGCCTATACAAATATATTACAACTTAAGCAAGACTCATTTGCCTGCAGAATCTTATAAAAATTGATAAATGGCATTGGGCACAAGAAAAAGGACCTGCAGGTTTACTTGAGTATAAATTCTAATAACTGGTACTTCTATTTTTCCTTTTAAAAATGTATATTTCCCTACAGATAAAATTCTTTTAAAATTCTAAAAGAAAAATTGCTCCTCACAATGATTTTGTATTACAGCAAAAGTTTGGAAGCAACTTTAATATTCACAATAGAAAAACTGTTAAATAAATCATAGAATGTAATATGTCACTTAGCAGCTCAATTTGTTTGAGCATAATATTAACTGACAATTCAAGCTGAAAAATTGCATGCAAACTATAATTGCAGCCACAAAAAAATACACATGGGAAAAAGCCTGGAGTTAAAAGTATGTTTTCTAGTCCTCCATTTTCCAAATGCTTTTTAATGTTATATTATCTTAATTATGGAAAAAATAATGACATGATGTTTAAGCAAAATTACAGCTCAGAACGCAACTAGTGTTTGATCAAAGTCTTGGTACGCATCATGAGAGAAGCAGATCAACTGAAAATTTTCTGTCTTTGTTCATCACTAGGTTTTCACATGCTTTTTCTCAATGTTTAATCAAGTTATTTTTCATTTGCTTTCAGGTAGCTTAGCTGAATCATCTTTCAGCAAGACCTTTACTATAAGACTGAAATTTCATGTATTATTTTTAAATTCCATATTTTGTATAAAATTTCCTCATTTCTTAAAAAAAAAAAAAAATGTCACTACCAGTGACGGTGTGGAAGGCAGAGTTTTCGGTGCCCTATAGGAATACTGTGACTGTCATAGGCAGTCTTCAGAGTTTGAAGGTTTTATCAGAGCAGGTGGAAGCATGATGCATTTGTTTCACTTTTCATTTATTCTCATTGAGTAACTTAATTAAATATATTTTGCTGTCTATATAAATTTTACAAGCAAAAGGATTAATATTTAAGAAGCAATTACTCTGCACTACATGTTTTCATAAACTGTCTCTTCTAATTTATAAGATAAGGATTATTATGCCCATTTTACAATTGAGGAAGCTGAAGATAAGAGAGTTTAAACTTCCAAGAGTCCAACAACTAGCTAGTGATTGAATCAAGATTTAAACTCAAGGTTGTACTCTGTCCCCTTCACCCTATGGCTTACCCAGGCCCTTATCAAACATGAGACAGTCAGAGCAGCAGTGAACAGCCAAGCCCATAGGGGGGAAAGGTGTCAAAATAGAGTTGAAAATTGTGTATCAAAGGAGATAATAAATATGCTAACATGATATATTGGCTATATTTGTGGAATTAAAAGGAACAAATAGTTAGCTTCATATTCTGCACAAATAAGATTCTATAAAACTCTTAAATCACTACTTTCATGGTTTTATTTCCAAAGCATGATTTCAAGAACCATGGGATTTAAAATAATTAAAATATTGACTATAAATAAATCACTTTCAGCAAGCTTTATTTATGGGATGAGGATGTCAAGGTTTATGAAATCAATCTGAATGACTTTGGCCTACAAAGTCAAAGACAAATGGAACAACAGCCAAAGAATGGAGCAATAGAATCTGGTACTATGCCAGCATCCTTAGTTTGATGTTGGTTCATGACCACATCTCCATCTTCACTGCCTAATTCACAGACTCTTATAGGACAAGATTCAAACAGCATGACTTTAAACAGCAGCTATTGCTCTGCTTAATTCTCTTGGCGACAGTAGTCATGGTGATAAGGAAGGCAATGACGGCTGATCATAAATCTAGATAATCAAGATCTTCAAGTTAATTATTTGGAAATAAATTAACTAGGTTATCTGGAACTACTGCCCATAACTGCTTGTAATAATTCCACCCTCAGTTTCTTATCCTGAAAACCTGGCCTCTATACATCCAGCTTCTCCAGCTGTGTTCCCCCCGACAATCCCTGGGGCCAGGTACTCCACACTGCCTGTTCTGAGACCAAAGCAAAACCTGTCAGGATATCGGCTTCTCTAGGATCCCTCAAGAGATAGAACATCAAGAAATAAGCTTATGGTTAGGCAGAGCATCTAAGTGGAAGGAAAAGTCCACTGAAAATTTTGAAGCCTAATTTTTATGGTTCAAAGGAAGCTGAAGTCAACTTTACATTTTTCCCCAAAATGTAAATTTTTTTAATTATTTTAATTCAAAGCCAGTCCTGTTTTTGTGATCATCTGCTATATGCAAAATACTGGTTTCTATCCTTGTGCTCCATTTCACATGCCCAGCAATGTGAAGGAATAGTTTTCCTTCTTTGATCAACTTTCTTTGTTAGGTGAGCCAATGTTATTCTCTAAATTGCAGGAAGCAAAATAAAGTTTTGCTTTAAATAAATAAAGCTATAGCAAAATAAAGCTACAGCAGTAATAACTATTAGAGAGAGGTTATTGACTAAGTATATTACCACTGAGTTCATAAAATATTCTTTGGATTGTTTCTATTAAATGCTGAATTAATATAAAGTAACATGTATCACATGTTAACATACAGAGAGGGCTTTCCAGGTATCGCTAGTGGTAAAGAGCCTGCTGGCTAATTCAGGAGACATAAGAGACGCGGGTTCAAACCTTGGGTCATGAAGATCCCCCGGAGGAGGGTATGGCAATCCACTCCAGTACTCTTGCCTGGAGAATCCCATGAACAGAGGAGCCTGGCAGGCTACAGTCCGTAGGGTTGCAAAGAGTCAGACACAATTAAAGCAACTTAGCACACACGCAAAGCATACAGAGAATGATGACAAAATAAACATCTGAGGACCCTTCACTAAGATTAAAAAATAAAACAACTGGAATTTTTGAAGCCCCTGAGGATGCTTCCTAAACAGCATCCCCCTCCCTACTCCAGCCCCCACCCAGAGATAACCACCCTCCTGTTTATTATTCCCTTGCTCTTCTTCATGAGTTAATCACATCTGAATGCTTAAACAATACATTGTTTACTTCTGAATGTTTGAAGACTTTATACAAATGGAAACATACCATATGAATTGTTCTGCAGCAGACTTTTTTCACCAAACATGATCCCATGATTTATCAAGTTATCGGTGCTGATATGAATAGCTGTAGCTACTCATTTTGTCTGCTGTGTAGTATGCCATTATATGAAGATACCACCATTTATTCATCAAGTCTACTGCCCAAAGATATTAGTGTTATTTGCAGTTTTGTACTGACAATGCTGCTGTAATATTTCTTGTGCATCTGCCTTTGTACATATACACAAATATTTCTTAGGTTGTACACCAACGGAAATAGTTGGTTCAAAAGTATGCACAGCTTCTACTTCACCATGCAATGCCATCGTTTTCCAAAGCAGTTGTAGATGTGATTCCATTGCTCTAGAGTTTGGGGGTTTTCAGTTCAGTTCGGTTCCTCAGTCATGTCCGACTCTTTGTGACCCCATGGACAGTAGCATGCCAGGCTTCCCTGTCCATCACCAACTCCCAGAGTTTACTCAAACTTATGTCCTTTGAATCGGTGATGCCATCCAACCATCTCATCCTCTGTTGTCCCCTTCTCCTCCCACCCTCAANTCATCCAGCCTGACATTCCACCTGATGTACTCTGCATATAAGTTAAATAAGCAGGGTGACAATATACAGCCTTGACATACTCCTTTCCTGATTTGGAACCAGTCTGTTGTTCCACATCCAGTTCTAACTTGTTTCCTGACCTGCATACAGATTTCTCAGGAGGCAGGTCAAGTGATCCGGTATTCCCATCTCTTTAAGAATTTCCCACAGTTTGTTGGGTGTTTTAATTTTCATTTATCCAGAGGATATTGTGCTTTCAATTCCCATTTTTCAGATTAATAAGATCATGTGTACTTGCCTAGTTCTTTTCTGTGAAGTGCCTGTTCAAAAATGTGGCCCATTTTTCTACTGGATTTTTGTCTTTTTCTTATTGATGTAGGAATTCTTTATAAAAGCCTCTATTTAATTT